GGGCTGGCTGCGGCCCCGCAGCTCGGCGGGGGGCGCGGGAGGCCGGGGTTGGCGGTGTCGGAAGCCAAAGGCTTGGCCTCCCCCGAGGGAGCCGCTTTCCCGGCCCGGGTCGGATCAATGGGCTGTAATTATACCGCGCCGGGCCCGGAGCCGGCGGGGAGGGAGCGGGAGCTGGCAGCAGGGCCGCGCGGGCGGGCGGGGTGCGGGCGGCGGGCGGGCGGGCGCGGGCGGCGGGGACCCCACGTTACTTTGATTGACAGCCCGCCCCGAGGCCGCGCGCGCGCGCAGGCGCACGCCCGCGCAGAGCCTGCTGGGACTTGTAGTCCTGTTCGGAGCAGACGCTCAGTTCCGGTCTCCCTCGGCCCTACGCGCTGGGGAAACTGAGGCACCCCCTTCTAGCATTATTTCACCCCCACCCCCACCCACCCCCCGCCTCGGCCCTCTCCCTCATCTCCTCCCATCTCCTTGGACTCCTCCCTCGCCCGACCCCGTGTCTAGGACCCCCGGGACTGGGGGTGGGGGGAATCTCAAGCTCTTCCCTGAGGCCTGCAGGAGACTTCGTGGCTCCTGCCTCCGTTTACCTATCTGTAAAATAGGGCGACCCCCCGCCCCCCCCACCAAGGCTAGCCGGGCTGTGAGCAGGGAGCAGGTGGAGCAGGGGACTCTTGTTTTTGAGGGGTGACCTGGCAGGCTGAGAGGAGGGCTGGCTTCCCCCAGGTGGTGGATAACGGGTGAGCCGAGCCCCCGCCCCGCCTGGCCTGTCCACCCAGGCCGGGGTGTCCACGAGGGTCCCTGAGTCTCCCGGGGCGGGGGGCGGAGCGGCTCTTGCCTCCCACCCCCACCCCCGCGCCAGGAACGCCGAGCCGCCTTGCGATTGGCTCAGCCGAGCCCACGGCCTCACGCCATTGGTTGCCGGTATCTTGTTCTCTATTGGCCGGTTGCCGTTCTGACATCACGGACTCACGTGGGAGCTCGGCGAGCTGATTGGCTGGCGCCCCCAGCCAACCACCGCCGAGAAAGGAATTTCCACAGTAGCAGGGGCGGCGAGGCTGATTTAAGGTGGTCTGAGCAATCCCGAGTCCCAGCGCTGCTTCTCGGCTTTTCCTTTCCTTTTTTTTTTTCTTTCCTTTTTTTTTTTTTTTTTAACCCACACGCACATCATAAAAACTCAGCCAGAAACCAGAGGCTGAGCCTTTTCTGTAGAGTTGGGAGGAGAGATTGGAAGGAGCTCAACCTCTTTCATTTTTTTTTTTCAAACCCCTTCCCCCATTTTGCAAATGGGGAAACTGAGCCTCCCAGCAATCCAGTCAAGGAGTGTGTGTGTGTGAGTGTGAGGCTGGGGATTCCCCAACATCTCAGCTGCATCCCACCCCTCCCCCAGATCCCAGCTCACTGTTGGGGGTGCTGTAGTTGAGAGTATGACAGTGTGCCACCTTCTCCCAGGCAGCTCTACTAGTGAAACCCCTGAGCCAGGGTTTGTGTGTGTGTGTGTGTGTGTGTGTGTGTGTGTGTGTGTGTGTGTGTGTAGCTTCCCAGATTCTCTGGCTGGGAAAAGACCCCCTCTTCCAGGAAGCCTCCTCAGGGGATTCCCACAGCCCTGGCTTTTCTCCTTTTGACCTGGGAGATCTGTTCTTAGGGTGTCCTTCCTTCCCCTAGCCATTCTGGAAACCCCTTTCTGGCCTGGGCCCAGCTCTCCACATCCTACAACAGAAGGTAGATCTAGAAGTATTTGCATACAGGGGTGCTGGTGGAAAGCAACCCAGAAAGCCCGGGAGAATTGGACCTGGTCCTTGAAATGCCAAGCTAAAAAGGAGGGGGAGGAATTCCAGGAAGAGAGAGATAAGACACCAAAGAAAAGCCCTCCCCATCCCCATGGGAAAGAAAGCGAATTAGATCATCTCGTGAAGGCCACTGGGGCTGTGGGGTGGGGTTTTCTAGGGGTGCAAGGAAGCTGGCTGGGCCTAATAGGGCTCCCACCCCTCTCTACTACACTGAACTGAGTTGCTAATGTATCCCCAGGGCAATAGGGAAACAGGGGAGAGTTTTAAAAGAGGGATTAAACTAAAATTAAAGGGGGAAGTCACCTCCTAGAGATGAAATGATTTGTGGCCTGGCAGGCAGGGGAGGAAGGGTGTGTGTGTGTGAGAGAGAGAGAGAGAGAGAGAGAGAGAGAGAGAGAGAGAGACCAGGCCCAGAGATGGTCAGGAAAACTTGTCCATTTGTCCACCTGAGCAGAGCCTGGAGCTGAGGGCTGAGAAATGGGCCCTGAGTTTGAGGTCAGGGGCTTTGGCAAGAGAAGGCTCACTCACAGAAGTGGGGGTTTAGAACGGGTGAACTGCTTAGAGGTGTCATTATGTGTTCCAAGAAGGAGCGACACCGGAGTTCCTAGCGATGGTGTAGACTGGGGATTTCCCAGACACCAAGGGGCCTGGGACCACAAACTTGTTACTGGGGACTCAAGTGGGAAACCCCGTTTCTTAGAGTGACAGAACTTTTGGAGAAGAGAGCTGTGGCTGGGGACTTCTGGTTTTAGCTAAAGAAGCCAGGTTCTTGTCAGCTCTCCAGGTTCAGACCCTTCAGAGCATGGACTGAGGGGACAGAGACATCCTGTGAATAAATATAATTAAAATATCATTTAAAAAAAAAGATCTCTAGGCTGGGAAGGTGGCTTAGTGGTAGAGTGCTTGCCTAGCATGCATGAAGCCCTGGGTTCGATTCCTCAGTGCCACATACACAGAAAAGGCCAGAAGTGGCGCTGTGGCTCAAGTGGTAGAGTGCTAGCCTTGAGCAAAAGAAGCTCAGGCCCTAAGTTCCAGCCCCAGGACCAGCACCCCTATAAACTCAGGAGGCTGAGATCTGAGGATTGCAGTTTGAAGCCAGCCTGGCCAGGAAGTTCTGTGAGACTCCAATTAACCACTTAAAAACCACAAGTGGAGTGTTACTCAAAGTGGTAGAACACTAGTCTTGGGGGGGGGGGGACTCAAAAACAGCACCCAGGCCCTGAGTTCAAGCCCCACTACTGACTCCCCCCCAAAAAAGATGAAGTGTTTTAGAAGAATAAGGTGAGCCTGGCACCGATGGCTCACACCTGTCACCCCAGCTACTCAGAAGGCTGAGATCTGAGGATGGCAGTTCAAAGCCAGCCCAAGCAGGAAAGTCCATGAGACTCTTATTTCCAATGAACCACCAAAAAACTGGAAATGGTGCTGTAGCTCAAGTGGTAGAGCACTAGCCTTGAGCTGAAGAGCTGAGGGACAGTGCCCAGGCCCAGAGTTCAAGCCCATGACAACAAAAAAGAAAAGAAAGTAAAAGAAAAAAGAAGGCGGAGAGTACAGGGTGCGAGTTACTTAAAGGGGTGACCAGGAGGGGAATAAGAAACAAGGGATGAGAGATCCTCCGGGAAAAGGGAACAGCATGTGGAAAGACCCTGAGGTTGGAATCTCTCTGTGACACATAGAACTAAAAGTACGTGTTATGGAGAGGAAGAAAGAATGAGGGTTCATGTTTTTAAAGAGTCTCTTGGGAAGAGAGAGGCAGTTGAATTTTATTTGCAATACAAGGGAATGGACCGTAGACCTTCATGTGTATTATGCAAGCATTCCAGCCCTGAGCTCCACCTCCAACCCTAGATTTGATTTCTTCTTAATTACTTTTATTGGTACTGGTCCTAGGATTTGAACTCAGGGCTCGAAAGACAGCACCACATCCAGCTTTTTTTTGAGTACTTTATTGGAGATGAAGAATCTCATGGACTTTCCTGCCTGGGCTGGCTTTGAACTGTGATCCTCAGATCTCAGCCTCCTCACTAGCTGGGATTTATAGGCATGAGCCACCAGCACCCAGCTTTAGATTTCATTTCTGTGGCAGGAAGGAGCCATTGAATCCTCTAGCATACTCCTCCCCCCCAACCCCTACCCACAGTGACCAACCTCAGCATCTTGTTTCCTCTGATTCTTCTTACAGCTGCTCATCTCCAACCTGCTCAAAGAAGACCCCTTTCCTGGCTGCACAGGAATGAGGACCCCATTTGGGCGATCTCTACCACAACTCCCCTCCATTCTTCATGTTTTTGTTTTTGCTTTTTGTCGGTCATGGGGTCTGAACTCTGGGCGCTGTCCCTCAGCTCTTCAGCTCAAGGCTAGTGCTCTACCACTTGAGCCACAGCGCCACTTCTGGCTTTTTTTCTGCTTATGTGGTGCTGAGGAATCGAACCCAGGGCCTCATGCATGCGAGGCAAGTGCTCTACCACTGAGCCACCTTCCCAGCCTCAATTCTTCTAGTACACAAATAACTGTAGTCGGCCTGGGGCTCCTCTCCTCTGAGCCTGATCTCCCAGCTGTCCCTGGATCCTGTGGGATAGTGGTAGGAGTGGTGTTGAAACTGGTGTGTGTATGTGTCTAAGAGCCTTGTACCCTTTGGCTTACCTACCTGCTGACATCCAGTTGTGACCACAGTGGCTGAAATTGCCCTGCTTTTTTTGGGCCTCTGTGCTCAGTCCCAGCCCTAGGCATCCCTGGTGTTTGCTGATTGACTTGGTGACTGGCTCTGGGGCTTCTCCTTGCAAGATGGGAACAAGAACGCCCCTGTGTGGGTGGCAGGCTGGCCTTCAAAAGCCAGGCCCTGGTCCAGCCAGGCCGTAATCGCAGATCTGAAGATGGAAGTTTCCAGCCAGTTCTGGCAGGAAAATCTGAGTTTGAACTCCACTGGCAAGAAAAGCCCGAAGTGGAGCTGTGGCTCAACTGGTAGAGCGCCAGCCTTGAGTGAAAAAGCTCAGAGACAGCAGCCCCCAGGACTTGAGTTCGAGTCCCTGGCCTGGTGTTACACACACACACACACACACACACACACACACACACACACACACACACACTGCCCATAGTCTGACAGAGGAGGCTTGCCCAGTCTGCTGGTGGCTGGTGGTGGCGGCCACTCACCCACGGAGGGGACTGACCACAAGCCCCGGGCCGGCCTGACAGGTGGCCCTGCTTGCATTTCCCAAGCGGCTACCTGCTGACACTTCCACGGCAGCCCAATGTCACCGGCTGGGGGGAAGCCACGGCTGACCCCTCCCCGACCCCCCGGTGTGAGGTGGCAGTGGCCCGGTGTGGGGGAGCCTCAGTTTCCCGGGTGGTCAGGGCGCAGAGGTGCGGGGGAGGGGGTGTGTGCGTGCGTGGAGCCGAGGGGAGGGGGGGCGGGGGGCGGGGCGGGGGCGGCGGCGCCACCTTAAGGCGGCTCAGCCCGCGGCTCCCGGCCGGGCCCGCCGGAGGGAGGCGGCTCCGCGCGGGGTCCGCCGCCCGCCCGCCCGCGCGCGCCCGTGCGCCCGCCCGCACCGAACCCCGGCCCGGCCGCCCCCCGCCGCGCCGCGCCCCGCGCCTGCGCCTCCCGGGCCCGGGGAAGCGGGGACCCCGCGACCCGAGCGCGCTCGCCCCGCCGGGCGGGGAGTGTGGTGGAGGGAGGGGGGACGGCGGGGACCCCCTCCCCGGGTCTCCGGCCCCGCGCCCGCCCGCCTCTTTCTTCGGGCCCCATCCGCCCCCTCCCACCCGAGCGCGCTCCCCGCACTCTGCCCCCCTCGACTCCAGCCCCCCCGTCTGCAGCTCTTCCCTCCAATTCCACCCCGCCCCACTTCCAGCCTCCCGCACCCCGCGGGGGGGGCTCCCGGATCGGCAGGATGTACCCCCAAGGAAGGCACCCGGTGAGTAGAGGGGGCCCCGGGGGCTGCCCGGGGATTGGCAGGGACCCCCCCTACTTTTTCTCTCCCAGCATCCTGGGGCACTCACCCCGGTGTGCCCCCCTGGCACCCCGCACCCCCCCCCCCCCAGACCCCGCTTCAGTCCGGCCAGCCCTTCAAGTTCTCGATCTTGGAGATCTGCGACCGCATCAAGGAGGAATTCCAGTTTCTTCAGGCTCAGTACCACAGGTGAGGGCGGCGGGGGTGGGGCCCCCGCCCCGGGCAGCGGCGCACCTGGATCCCGGGAGGGGCGTGGCCTGGGGCGCGGGGCGGGGCCTCGGGCCAGGGGCGTGGCCTGGGGTGCGGGGCGTGGCCTCGGGCCAGGGGCGGGGCCTGGGCACGGGGCGGGGCCTGGGGCGCGGGGCGGGGCCTCGGGCCTGGGGCGGGGCCTCGGGCCAGGGGCGGGGCGGGGCTGGGCGCGGGGCGGGGCTGGGCGCGGGGCGGGGCCTGGAATGCGGGGCGGGTCCTGGAGTGTGGGGCGGGGCCTGGGGGCGCGGGGCGGGGCCTCGGGCCAGGGGCAGGGCCTGGGTGCGGGGCGGGGCCTGGGCGCGGGGCGGGGCCTGGGCGCGGGGCGGGGCCTGGGCGCGGGGCGGGGCCTCGGGCCAGGGGCCAGCGTCCGGCTGGAGACCCAAGTGGGAGGAAGGTGGGGACTCTGGGGGGGACCTTTCCGTGTGGGGCGTTTTGAACCCCGGAAATGTGGAGGGCATTGATGGGTGTGGGAAGGAACCATGGGAAGACGAGACCCCCCCAGACTGTCACTTTGTGCACCCCGTTTTACACCCTCTCCCCCCCACCCCCCAAGCTTGAAGCTGGAATGTGAGAAGCTGGCCAGCGAGAAGACGGAGATGCAGCGGCACTATGTTATGGTGAGGCCCGAGAGCCGCTGCCCCTGCTCAGATTCCCCCCCACCCCGGATCCCCCCCCCCCACACCCCCCTTGAGCCTCATTTTTCCTGCCTGGAAGCCGGGCTGGCTGGGATTCCAGGCTCCCAGCCCCTGTCGGCCAAGCCCCACCCCTCCCGGGGACGCCTGCTGTGTGACCAAGGTCTGCTTCTACTCCCCTTGCTGGGTTCCCTTTCTGGGACTCCTTGGAGCTGGGGGGGATGTTCTATGTCTTGTTGGGATCCCCAGTCCCTCAGCATCTACCTGTCCTTAGGACATTCTAATGGCCTTTCCTTCGCAGTACTACGAGATGTCCTACGGACTGAACATTGAGATGCACAAACAGGTAACCGGGAGAGGGGCGCGGGGAGCTGCGGATGGGGTGAGCCTAGGTCTCTGGAAGCAGGCAAATCCAAGGCATGGGAGAGAGGGGCGTCTTAATCTGGAATTTCCATCGAGGTCCCATTGGGCCAATCTGGAGGACAGAAGCCGCTCAGCAGAGGCTGTGGAAGTAACTGGTGTCGGAGGACGGGGGTGGGTGGGCAGTCTTGGAGAGATCCCTTCCAACCTGGAGACTGGGAATTGGATGACGGAGGCCCAAGATTCTCTTGCAATTTTGTTTTTGTTTTGATTTGTGCGGGTATTGTGGCTTGAACTCAGGACCTGGGCTTTTTGGCTCAAGGTTAGCACTCTAACCACTCAAGCCACAGCTCTACTTGTGGTTTTTTGGTGGTTAGTTGGAGAGGAGAGTCTCACACATCCCCACCCTGGCTGTCTTTGAACTGCAATCCTCAGATCTCAGCCTCTGAAGTAGCTAGAATTACAGGCATGAGTCACTGGCACCCAGCTTTCTTGCAATTTGGAAAGTTTTGGAGATTGGTCTTGGTGGGACTGGCCTACTCTGAGTCTGATGCTGTGATTCAGAACGCAAGCTTCTGAGGCTGTTCCCAGGCTCAGAGATTGACTCAAAGACTGGACAGTTCTGAAGTTCTTCCCAGCTTTCTCTCTCTCTGTTTCCTCTCTCTCTCTTTCTCTCTTTTCTCTGTGTCTGTCTGTCTGTCTGTCTCTCTTTCATGTCAGTACTAGATCTTGAACTCAGGGTCTGGGTGCTGTTCATTAGCTTTTTCACTCAAGGCTGGCACTCTGCCACATGAGCCACAGCTCCACTTCCTGCTTTTTGGTGGCTCATTGGAGATGAGAGTCTCACTGACTTTCCTGCCCTGGCTAGCTTAAACCATGATCCTCAGATCTCAGCCTTCCAAGTAGCTAGGAATATGGGCATGTGCCCAGTTATTCCTAGTTTTCTGAAGGAGATCCTCAGGGCTCTGAGATTGACTAGAATGCTGGGTGGTTCCCAGGCTCTGCTTAGGGTTCTGAGTATCACCCCGGGTTCTGAGATAGACCCAAAGAAATCTGAGATAGACCCTATCAGACTCATAGATTCTTCTCTTTGGAATATTAGAATCAGTGGCAGAGTCTCATGCTGAGGGTCCTGGGGGGTGTGGAGAAGGGTGGGCTAGGAATGTGGGTACTTGGAGTACCGTGCCTGGCATGCTTTTCAGGGGATGTGTGGGCTTTGTAGGGAATCCTTCTCCTCTTCTTCCTCCTCCTTCTCCTTCTCCTCCTCCTCATCCTCCTCCTCTTCCTCCTCCTCCTCTTCCTCTTCCTCCTCTTCCTCCTCCTCCTCTTCCTTCTCCTCTTCTTCCTCCTCCTTTTTTTGATTGGTGTGGGGCTTGAACTCAGGGCCTGGGCTCTGTCCCTGGGCTCTTGCACAAGACTTCCCTCCATTATGTGGAGCCTCAGCGCCACTTCCAGTTTTCTGGTGGTTAACTGGAGAGTCTCACAGACTTTCCTCCTCAGCCTGGCTTTGAACTGCCATCCTCGACTCTCAGCTTCCTGAGTAGTTAGGATTACGGGCATCAGTTACCAGCCTCTCCATTTCCTCCCTTCTTTCCTCCCTCTCTCCTCTGTCCTCTGTCCTCTCTCCCTCCCTTCCTTCTTCTTCCCCTCTTCCCCCCCCCCCCCCCCGTCCCTTTTATTATTACTATTTTTGACCAGTCCTGGGGCTTGAACTTAGGGCCTGAGCACTGTCCCTAAACTTCTTTTGCCCAAGACCAGCACTCTACCACTTGAGCCACTTCCTGCTTTTTCTGTGTGTATGGTATTAAGGAATCAAACCCAGTGCTTCCTCCATGCTAGGCAAGCGCTCCACCACGAAGCCACATTCCCAGACCCTCCCTCCCTTCCCCCTCCTTCTTCCTCTCCTGTTTCCTTCCTTTCTTCCCTCCCTTCCTTCCTTCTTTTCTTCCTTCCTTCCTTCCCCTTCCTTCCTTCCTTCCTTCCCCTTCCTTCCTTCCTTCCTTCCCCTTCCTTCCTTCCTTCCTTCCTTCCTTCCTGTCCTGGAGTTTGAACTCAGGATGCTTTTATGTTCAAGGCTTGCACTCTACCACTGAGCCACAACTCCACTTCCTTCCTTTTTGATACTTGAGGTAAGAGTCTCAAGGACTTTCCAGCCCGGGCTGGCTTTGAACCCTGATCCTCAGATCTCAATAGCTAGCTCTGAATACTGAGTATGACAGACATGAGCCAGTGGCACCCAGCTTACTGGGAGGGTGTTTGGTGTGGAGCATGGTTTGGTATCATGGATGCGGGCAACAGACCCGCTTGCGGGGCGGAGGGCACGGGCCAGGGCCCCAGCCCTGGGAGCCTGGCTGCATGCTGCACTCTGCTGGGTCGACATGCAGACCCTGCACATGCACCACATGCACCGAGCGCACCTGTCCTGGGCGGGGCCGAGCACGGGCCCTTCACAGTGAGTGGTTTTGCTCGGCCTGTGTGGGGTGCCCCGCACAGAGCCCTCATTGTTTGGACGGCCCGGTGCCTCTGCGCGGGTGGCTCTGCAGCTGCGGCCTGCGGCCTCACTCCTGGCTCCCGGCCTTGCCCTGGGCAGCCTCACTCCCTGCCTCCGTTTCCTCACCCCTTAGATTTGCAGATGCTTCTTTTAAGTAATCTATCTGTCAAACCTTTAAGTTGTACGCAGGCCTTCAACAAATAAGTTTATAATGAATACAGCGAGCCAGGCACCGGAGGCTCCCGCCTGGCATCCCAGCGACGCCGGAGGCTGAGAGCTGAGGATCGCAGTTCAAAGCCAGCCTGGGCAGGGAAGTCCGTGAGACTCTCCCTTGAACCCCCAGACACCCAGAAGTGGTGCGCTGTGGCTCAAGTGGTAGCGCGCTCGCCTTGAGCACCAAGAGGCTCAGCGCCCAGGTCCCGAGTTCAAGCCCCAGGACCGACAAACCATAAAATCCATTTTGATCGATGTCACCCCTGTCATCTTTCTCCTCTTGCAGATGCTTCTTACCATTTGGGGGTACGGGTGGATGGAGGGTCTTCTGCTCTCTCCAGCCCCTGACTCATCTCCTTGCTTCCCCGCCAGGCTGAGATTGTGAAGCGGCTCAGTGGAATCTGCGCTCAGATTATTCCCTTCCTCACCCAGGAGGTGAGTGGCGCCGGGAAGGCCAGGGCGGTCCTTGGGAAGAGGGGCGGGGCGTGGACACGGTGGGCGTGGCACAAGTGGAGGGGGCGGGGCGTGGACACGGTGGGCGTGGTGAAGCGGAGGGGCGGGGCATGCGCGGAGGGGGCGGGGAGTAAACAGGAGGCATGGGTATAGTGGGCGTGGTGTAAGGGGCGTGGGCGGGGCGTGGGCACAGTGGGCGTGGTGTGAATGGAGGGGGCGGGGCGTGTTGGGGCAGCTGAAGGCGGGCACTCGGGCCAGGGATGGAGAGGTAAAGGGACATGGCCGCAGGGGTAGAGCTCCTGTGAGCGTCTTCTGCAGGCAGCAGTGGGGTGCGGGTCTCAGGTGCTAGGCCTGTGGACTCCACCCTCACTCCTGGGAGCCACAGACACAGCCACTCAGAGCCACAGAGGCAGAGTGCGCGGCCTGAGCTTCGCCTCCTGAGTAGCCAGGCTTACCCAGGCAGGCGCGAGACCCCAGCGACTGGGCCCAGCCTATCTTGTTTTCGCAGATCCTGGGGCTTGAACTCAGTGCCTCTCCCTGAGCACTTTGTGCTCAAGGCTAGTGGCCTGTCACCTGAGCCACAGCGTCATTTCTAGCTCTCTGTGTGTGTGTGTGTGTGTGTGTGTGTGTGTGTGTGTGTGTGTGTGTGTGTGGTTTATTGGAGATAAGAGTCTCACAGGGACTTTTCTTCCCTGGCTGGCTTCAAAGCACGATCCTCAGATCTCAGCCTCCTGAGTAGTTAGGATGACAGGTGTGAGCTATTGGCACCCGGCCCCAGCCTATTTTTAAATTCATAGTCCATGGATCCAGTGAGTGCTTGCCTAGCATGTAGGAAGCTCTGTATTACAACACAAGTACCAACCAAGGGAGAAGTTGTGTGGGGGGGGGGGGTGAGGGAAGTGGAAGAGGAGGGAAGGAGAGGGAGAGAGGATGGAGAAGGTACCCGGCCACTCCTGTAATCCTAGCTATTCAAGAGGCTGGGATTCAGAGTCAGCCCAGGGCAGGAAAATCCAGGAGAATTATCTCCAGTGAACCAGCAAAAAGCCAGAAGTAGAGCTGTGGCTCAAGTGATAGAGTGTCCCCTTGAGCAAAAAAAAAAAAAAAAATAGCTCAGGGACAGTGGCGCCCATGCCTTGAATTCAAGCCTGAATACTGGCACAGAAAGAAAGGGAGACGGGCCAGGTGCCAGTGGCTCACGCCTGCCATCCTAGCTACTCAGGAGCCTGAGATTTGAGGACTGAGGTTCAAAGCCAGCCCAGGCAGCAAAGTCCTTGAGACTCTTATCTCCAATAAACCAACTAGAAAACCGGAAGTGGCGCTGTGGTTGAGGTGGTAGAGCGCTCGCCTTGAGCTGAAGAGCTGAGGGACAGCGCCCAGGCCCAGAGTTCAAGCCCCACGACTGACAAAAAGAGGGGTGGGGGGAATGGAGCAGGGGTTAGAGTGAAGACCTGGGCAGGCTGGGCGCTGTTGGCTTGTGCTGAGGGTCCAGAGATCGAGCCCCAGGACTAGCAAAGAAAAAAACTTCACAAAGATATGGACGGAGCAGAGCACAGGGTAGGGAAGGGGGGGGCGGGGGGCGCCCTCTAGTGTGGGCTCTGTGTTCCAGCACCAGCAGCAGGTGTTGCAGGCGGTGGAGAGGGCCAAGCAGGTGACCGTGGGCGAGCTGAACAGCCTCATTGGGGTGAGTGTCCTGGCACCCCACAAGCGCTAAACGGCGTGGTGGGCGGTCCAGCAGCCTGGGCTCTGGCGACCCTGCAGACCCCTCCATGGCGCAGACCCTCCGCTCACGCTGATGCTGAGCAATCCGTGTGCCAGCCTGGGGTGCCGGTGGGTGCCTGGCCTGCTCGCCCTGGCCCATCCTTTCTCCCCTCTAGCAGCAGCAGTTCCAGCCCTTATCCCATCATGCCCCGCCGGTGCCCCTCACCCCGCGGCCGGCCGGGCTGGTGGGGGGCAGCGCCACTGGGCTGCTCGCTCTGTCGGGAGCGCTGGCTGCACAGGCCCAGCTAGCAGCCGCTGCCAAAGAGGACCGCGCAGGGGTGGAGGCCGAGGGATCTGGGGGTGAGTGGGGTGACCCGGGGGGGGCTTTGGTAGAGGGCTGGGGGACACTGGCAGTGGCTGTGTGGGGGCTGTACTTAATCCCTAGTGCTGTGTGTCCTTAGGGAGATTGCTAGCCTTCTCTGGGCATGAATGGATTCAGTGCACTACTTGCAGGGATGGATATAGGAGATTCTTTGTTTGTTTTGTTGGTCGTGGGACTTGAACTCAGGGCCTGGCACCGTCCCTCAGCTCTTCAGCTCAAGGCTAGCGCTCTACCACTTGAGCCACAGTGCCACTTCCGGCTTTTATGGCTTATGTGGTGCTGAGGAATTGAACCCAGGGCCTCAGGCATGCAAGGCAAGCGCTCTACCACTGAGCCACCTTCCTAGCCCACCCCCTTGTTTGTTTGCTTATTTATTTATTTATGTATCTATTTATTTTTGGTGCCTGTCCAGGGGCTTGAACTCAAGGTCCAAGCACTGATGATGAACTTTTTTTTCTGCTCAATGCTGGCATTCTAACCACTTAAGCCACAGCTCCACTTCTGGTTTATTTTTTTGGTGGTTCATTGGAGATAGGAGTCATGCATTTTTCCTTCTCTGGGCTGGCTTCGAACTGTGATCCTCAGATCTCAGCCTCCCGAGTGGCTGGGATGACAGGCGTGAGCCACTGGGGGTGTCTGGACTTGGATAAGAGAGATTCTCAGCTGGGAAGGAGGTTTTATGAACTGGGTTGTACTTTGTACTCCACATTTATGGAGCATGAAGCCTTCATATTCTCTCTCTTTCTCTCTCTCTCTCTCGTCTGTTTCTCTGCCTCCTACCATCCTCCAGTGGAGAGAGCTGCAAGCAGGGTAAGTTGAGGCCTAGCAGCCAAAGCTGCTGCTTGTCCTGAGTCTGGGGGTACAGTGCGGGGAGAGCCCTGGGGTCTAGAGAGACTGCAGTTCTGACTTTCACACTGGGAGTCCAGGAGGCTTTTGGTGAGCGAGATGCCCAAGGCGTTGGAGTTTGCTTTACTCAGTCTCGGCTGGGAAGGTGGCTCAGTGGTAGAGCGCTTGCCTTGCATGCATGAGGCCATGGGTTCCATTCCTCAGCACCACATAAAGAGAAAAAGCCAGAAGTGGTGCTGTGGCTCAAGTGACAGAGCGCTAGCCTTGAGCAAAAGCAGCTCAGGGACAGTGCCCAGCCATGAGTTCAAGCCCCAGGACTCCGGGGGCGGTTGTGGGGGGAAGAATTCCACCTGTCATGCTAGTGACTCAGGGCTGAGCTCTGAGGATCGCAGTCAGAGCCGGCCTGGTCTGGAGTACGGTTTGGGAGCCGGGGCGCTGACCTTTCACCCGCACCTGTCCTGTCTCCCTGCAGAGCGCGTCCCCCTCGCCCCCTGAGAGCCTGGTGGAAGAGGAGCGACCCGGCGGCCCCGGGGGCCCTGGCAAGCAGAGGCCCGAGGACAAGGAGCTGTCTGGACCTTATGTGAGTCAGGGCCAGGCCCGGCCCGAGCCTTCCGTAGCTCGGGGCTGCCCGGACCCTCGAGAACCTTGCCTCTGTCCCCTGGCTCGCGCAGCACTGGCCAATCAGAAGAGACTCTGCTTGCAGGCTGGAGTCTGTAACGGCTCTGATCCCCCCAGGAGCCCCTCCACTGTGCAACCATTGGACCTCCCTCCTCCCTCCTCCCTCCCTCCCTGCCTCCCTCCCTCCCTCCCTCCATCTCTCCCTCCCTCCCTGCCTCCCTCCTGCCTCCATCTCTCCCTCCTTCCTTCCTTCCTTCCTTCCTTCCTTCCTTCCTTCCTTCCTTCCTTCCTTCCTTCCTTCCTTCCTTCCTTCCTTCCTTCCTTCCCTCCCTCCCTCCCTTCCTTCCTTCCTTCCTCCCTCGTCCTGGGGCTTTTACTCAGGACTCCGGTCTCTGTCTCCCACCCCTCTCCCAAAACAGAGGGGTACCCTGGGGCTGGGAAGGGGTGTGCAGAGGCGGGAGGCAGGGCGGCACCGCAGCGGCTCCCCGCCCCATGTTTCTCCCAGGAAAGCGATGAGGACAAAAGCGACTACAACCTGGTGGTGGACGAGGTAGGCGCGCGCACCGCTCCCAGCACAGGGCATGCGGGTGGGGCTGGGGAGGGGAGCCCAGACCCCCTAGCGTGGGGGCCAGGAAAAGTGGGGGTCGCCAGGCTGATTTCTCTTAGGGCACGGGAGGGGAAACTGAGGCCTTACCCTTACACAGCTGTCGTCAGACTTTTCAAGCCCGGATCTGAGCCACTGGGAGGTTTATTCCAGGTCCCCAAGGCCATCCAGGGTGCTCGGCTGGAGGGTGACGTGGGAAAACACACAGACCGATTCCTTCCAACCACCCCCCTCCTCGAACCCAGGACCAGCCCTCAGAGCCCCCCAGCCCGGCCACCACCCCATGTGGGAAGGCGCCCATCTGTGTCCCCGCACGGCGGGACCTGGTGGACAGTCCAGCCTCCCTGGCCTCTAGCCTTGGCTCACCGCTCCCTAGAGGCAAAGAGATTGGCCTGGTAAGGAAGGGTGTGGGGGGGGAGCCTTGAAACTCATTTTACAAACCATCCTGCAGGATGGGAAGGGGGGCGGCTGGAAACGGACACAGGACAATGAGAATTCAGCTTGGCTGGAGCAGTGTACTTTTTTCTGTCCTCCTGATTCTTCGGCCCCTTGGTTTTTTTCCTCTGTGGAAAGTCAGTAAATATTAAAAAGGTAACTTTGTCACAAAGCTTAGAAAATACAGAGGAGGCTGGCTGGCTGCCCTACATGGAGACCGAAGAACTCTTGAAATAAATAAGAAATAAACACAGGGAAGGAAAGAGAGCGAAAACCCCGGGGACGGAAGGGAAAGCGGGGCTGGACCCCAGAGACCCTGATCATGTAAAAAGTACCCACAATGCAGCTGCACTGGGGACCTCTCTCCCGCCCCCCCCCCCCCCACTGCCCCGCCCCTGCCTGGCACTTACCAGCGGAGACCATCAGTTTCCAGGCTCCTCTTCTCCCTCCCTCCCTCCCTCCCTTCCTCCCCAGCTCCGTTGCCATGGTAACCGCCAGAGGTTAGAGCTCAGACTCTAGTGGGGTTTTTGTTGTTGTTGTTGTTTTAAATTTTAGAGGGCTTTGTTTATTTATTTTGTTGCCCATCCTGGGGCTTGAACTCAAGGCCTGGGCGCTGTCCCTGGCTTCTTTTGTTCAAGGCGAGCGCTCTTCCACTTTGAGCCACACTTCCGGTTTTCTAGTGGTTCACTGGAGATAAGAGTTTCACGGACTTTCCCGCCCAGGCTGGCTTTGAACCGCGATCCTCAGATGTCAGCCTCCTGAGTAGCTAGGATGACAGGCGTGAGCCACCGGCGCCCATCTAGTGCCTTCTCTTAAAAGCTTTTCTTCCTCCCCTCTGGGGATATGCTGGGTGGAGGTGCGCAGGGCAGCTTTGTTCCGAAGCACGCAGAGGTCTCCCCGACCCTCCTGGGGGTGCCTTCCAGCCCCTTTTGGGCATATGACTCTGCAAAGGTGGTGGCACCCAGAGAAAAACGTGGGAAGTGGGGGGAATTGGACTCAGGGCCTAAGTGTTATCGCTTAGCTTTGTTCCCCCTCGAGGTTGGAACGCTACCACTTGAGCCACGCCTCCAGTCCAGCATCTTGCTGGTTAGAGATAAGACTCTCACCAAGGACTTTCTGTGCCTTGGCTGGTTTTTCAGGAAACTATCTGGTTTCTGAGCAGCTCCCTGGGCTGCTGGGCGCCCCCCATGCTGGGGTTCAGCCTGGCCCTGGCCCCCGCACCCCCCCACCCCCGGTGCCAGGGTTCAGCCTGGCGGTCAGCCCTGGACCCCCCCCACCCCCATGCTGGGGTTCAGCCTGGCCCTGGCTCCCGCACCCCCCCCACCCCCGGTGCCAGGGTTCAGCCTGGCGGTCAGCCCTGGACTCTCTCCTCCGCAGAGTGACCTTCCCACGGGGACCTCCGCCTGCAAGTCCTCTGACTCCTCCCCACCCCAGGACGCTTCCACGCCCGGGCCCAGCTCGGCCAGCCACCTCTGCCAGCTGGCCGCCAAGCCTGCGCCGTCCACGGACAGCATCAGTGAGCCCCCGTCCATCCCAGGGACCCTCTTCCTTCCGGCTTGCAGAAAATGGTGGAGAAACTTGAGGCCCAGATAGATGGAGTGACTCCCTCTACCTAGTACCCAGAAAAGAAACAGTCATACTTGGCCATTGGCTAGCTATGCCACCTTGGGCTGGTGACCCAACCTCTCTGAGCTTCACTTTCCTCCCTGCAAATCTGAGTGAGGGGGTGTGGGGGCAGGGCTCTGTGACCCCTGAAACAAGTTGGCTTCAGGACATGTCCTCTACCAAGTGGTGGAGGAAATGACTAGACCTCATTATCTGCGCCCCCCCCCCATAGGATCAGGGCTAGAGGAGGAGAGACTCAACACTAGGGTGTGGGTTTTGAAGGATGTGTAGGAGTTCACCAATTGAAGGCAAGGAAAGGCATGTCAGTCACAGGAATGGAATGTGTGGAGCTCTGGAGTTGTCCCTGGGTGTGCTGAGGTAGAGCCGCAGCATAGAAACTGTGGGCAGCGGGATCTGGGTACAGAAGGTCTGAGCCCTGTCTTGTCCCCTGTTGCTCAGCCCTGCGGAGCCCCCTGACTCTGTCCAGCCCCTTTACCACGTCCTTCAGCCTGGGCTCCCACAGCACCCTCAATGGGGACCTCTCCATGCCCAGCTCCTATGTCAGCCTCCACCTGTCCCCCCAAGTCAGCAGCTCGGTGGTCTATGGACGGTCTCCCATGGTGAGTGTTCAGGGTGAGGGGGCCCCAGCAGGAGGCTAGGGGTGTGTTTGGGGAAGTAAACCAGGAGGAGGGGGAATGGGGAAGTTTGCTTCACAATGCAGGGAGGGAAGACAATCTGATGGTCTCAGCACCCCCCACCCCCCAGCGGGGTCGGGTGTGGTGTTGCATGCCTGTAATCCCAGCACTGGGGAGGCTGAGGCAGGAGGATCTCAAGTGTCAGGCCAGTCTGGGCGCTGGTGGCTCACCCCTGTCATCCTAGCTTCTCAGGAGGCTGAGATCTGAGGATCGTGGTTCAAAGCCAGCCTGGGCAGGAAAGTCCCTGTGAGACTCTTATCTCCAATAAACCACCAGAAAACCGGAAGTGGTGCTGTGGCTCAAGTGGTAGAGCGCTCGCCTTGAGCTGAAGAGCTGAGGGACAGCGCCCAGGCCCAGAGTTCAAGCCCCATGACCACCACCACCAACAACAACAAAAAGCAAAAGGCCTAGTCCCTGGGAAGTTATTTCCAAAAAGCAGGAGTGGGAGGCTGGATTTGTTCTGGGGGCTTTGCAAACCCCTGGTCTGTAGCAAGTCTGGAACTCTAGACTCGCTGTTAGATCCTCGGGGCTCCCTGCAGTGCAAACCTCTGCTCCTGTCTCTGCTTCCTGACACAGATCCGGTCTTCCGATAAATGTGTGTGTGTGGGGGGGGGGGTTAGGACCAGTGAGCCTGGGAGGAGGCGGGAGGGAACAGCACCCAGGTGGCTGGGAGAGAACTTTTTTTGTCCTTTTCGGCAGATGGTATTTGAGTCGCACCCACATCTCCGGGGGTCGTCCATCTCCTCCTCTCTGCCCAGCATCCCTGGTGGAAAGCCGTGAGTACTAGGGAGGGTCTCCCCACACTGGGACCCAGCTGTCCTCCCACCCTCCTGAGGGATTGGTGTGGGTGGACTTGGGGGTTTCCTAGTTCCTGACCCTTCCTGAAAGTCCCTTCTATGGGGTAATGGGGGTTCTCTGATGAGTTTCAGGGGGAAAACAGCAAATGCAGGCTAGTAGTTTTATGGGGAGCATGTGTGTGTAGTGGGGGGGTAGATACTGCCCCTAGGAGACAGCTGGCCATATCAGGTGGCTGTCAGGACTGAGGGGCTCCTGGCGCGAGGTGGGGAGATGACCCTAGAAAACAACCTAGTGGCAAATATCACTACAACTTTCTGCAGTCTGAGTATTTGTTGTTGGTGGTGGTCGTGGGGCCTGAACTCAGGGCCTAGGCGCTGTCCCTGAGCTCTTCTGCTCAAGGCTGGTGCTCTACCACTTGAGCCACAGCGCCACTTCTGGTGCTTCATTGGAGATAAGAGTTTCGTGGATTTTCCTGTACTAGCTGGCTCCAACCACCATCCTCAGATCTCAGCTTGCTGAGTAAGTAGGATTACAGGGTGTGAGCCACCTGCACCTGGCGCCTGAGAATATTCTAGACTCAGCATGGTCCTCTCAGGTTGCCTGCAAGCGTGTGTGGTTTCTGAGCACTCACAGTGCGGCCCCAGTAGCTCAGCTGACCTTTTAGCTATTCACGGTCGGGTTAGGTACGGGATGCTAATGGCTCACAAAATCCTAGCTGGCTCAGGAGGCTGAGATCTGAAGACGACGGTTCGAAGCCATCCCAGGCAGAAAAGTCGGGTGACATTCTTATCTCCCACGAAGCACAAAAAGGCAGAGGTGGAGCTGTGGCTCGGAGTGGTAGCGCGCCAGCCCTGAATGAGACAGCTAAGGACAGCGCCCAGTCCTAGTCCTAGCGCTGGCACCAAAAGAGACAGAAAACAGTTGGGCTATTTAAGTGGCCACGGGGCTGCCGTCGCCGGCGGTGCCCGGCCCGGCGCCCGGCCCCGGGGCTCGCTCGCCGGTGATCAGAGGCGCCCTCGGGCGGGAGGAGGGCGGGGGGCGCGCGCCGCGGCCTCCCGGGTCAGGCCCCCCACTTTGCAGGGCCTACTCCTTCCACGTGTCCGCCGACGGCCAGATGCAGCCGGTGCCCTTCCCCTCGGACGCGCTGGTGGGCACGGGCATCCCGCGGCACGCGCGCCAGCTGCACACGCTGGCGCACGGCGAGGTGGTCTGCGCCGTCACCATCAGCGGCTCCACGCAGCACGTGTACACGGGCGGCAAGGGCTGCGTGAAGGTGTGGGACGTGGGCCAGCCCGGCACCAAGACGCCCGTGGCCCAGCTGGACTGCCTGGTGAGGGCGGGGCTTAGTCCCGGGAGGGGCGGGGCGCACGCCAGGCCTGGAGCCAGTCAGGAAAGAGTTACAAGGTGGCAGGGGCGGGGCTTAGGATGCTAATATAGGCGAGGCTTCCGTGTAAGCCAATTGGTGCCTGTAGCCCTCTCGGGGGTGGGGCCTAATGGTCTTTCAGCCCAAAGTGGGTGGGGTCACCGCAAAACGGGTAGAAGCGGTAGTCAACCAAGGCGGGATTTGCAGGTTGTAGGCCGAGGGGGGCGGGACTTTCAGGCTGATGGGTGGGGCTTGTGAACGGATGGACAGACTTGCAGGCTAATGGGCAGGGCTTGAAGGTCGGTGGGGCGGGACTATATGCCCATGGGGCGGGACTTGCAGGCCAGTGGGTGGGGTTGAAGGCTGATGGGCCAATGACATGAGGGTGTTGCAGGTCATAGGGCGGGGGCAACAGTTTCCAGGGCCCCCTGGGGATGAGGCATCCGAGCATCCGCGGGGCTGGACTTGCAGGCCGATGGGTGGGGTTTGCAGGCCGATGGGTGGGGTTTGCAGGCCGATGGGTGGGGTTTGCAGGCCGATGGGTGGGGTTTGCGGGCCCACGGGTGGGGTTTGCGGCCGATGGGTGGGGTTTGCAGGCCGATGGGTGGGGTTTGCAGGCCGATGGGTGGGGTTTGCAGGGCCCACGGGTGGGGTTTGTGGGCCGATGGGTGGGGTTTGCAGGCCCACGGGTGGGGTTTGTGGGCCGATGGGTGGGGTTTGCAGGCCCACGGGGTGGGGTTTGCAGGCCGATGGGTGGGGTTTGCAGGCCCACGGGGTGGGGTTTGCGGCCCACGGGGTGGGGTTTGCAGGCCCACGGGGTGGGGTTTGCAGGGCCAAGCCCTGGGGCGGTGCTGGATCGAGGCTGGGTGGATGGCACCCCGCAGGCGGCCTCCCGGCCCCGGGGGCCGGCCCAGCCCTGCCCTTGCTTCTGTCCTCGGCCGGCTGCCGGCTGCAGAACCGGGACAACTACATTCGCTCCTGCAAGCTGCTGCCCGACGGCCGCAGCCTGATCGTGGGCGGAGAGGCCAGCACCTTGTCCATCTGGGACCTGGCGGCGCCCACGCCGCGCATCAAGGCCGAGCTGACCTCCTCGGCCCCGGCCTGCTACGCCCTGGCCGTCAGCCCCGACGCCAAGGTCTGCTTCTCCTGCTGCAGCGACGGCAACATCGTGGTGTGGGACCTGCAGAACCAGACCATGGTCAGGTGGGTGGCGTGGCCCGGCCCAGGGCGGACGGGGACCCCGGGGGTGGACACCGGGCCCCTTCTCCCCTTCTCCCTTCCCCAGGCAGTTCCAGGGCCACACCGACGGGGCCAGCTGCATCGACATCTCTGACTACGGCACCCGGCTGTGGACGGGAGGCCTGGACAGCACCGTGCGCTGCTGGGACCTGCGGGAGGGCCGCCAGCTCCAGCAGCACAACTTCAGTCCCAGGTGGGGCCGCGGGGCAGGGGCGGGGGGGGGGGGGGGGGGGGGGGGGAGGGCGGGGGGGGTGGAGGGGGCGGGGGAAAGGGCAGGGGCGAGGGGCAGGGGGGCAGGGGGCAGGGGGGCGGGGGGCAGGGGGCAGGGGCGCGGGGGGTGGGGGGGTAGGGGCGGGGGGCAGGGGTACAGGGGCAGGGGCCAGGAGCCAGGGGGCAGGGGTGGGGGGGGGCAGGAGGCAGGGGCTGGGGGGGCAGGGGTAGGGGGCAGGGGCCGGGAGCCAGGGGGCAGGGGCCGAGGGCAGGGGCAGGGGCAGGGGGTGCCCCCCAGATGCAGGAGTCCAGCGACGATGCCAAAGGAAGGCCAAGGCTAGATCTTCAGGTTTTATACATTGGGTTTGTCACCTCTTGGACCTGCCTGCTGTTCAGGGTTTCTATAGTTGGTCTGTCTGTCTGCCTGCCTGCCTGCTTGTCTGTCTGTCTCTCACACACACACACACACACACACACACACACACACACACACACACACACACACACACACACACACACACACACACACAGTTGCCCCAGGGTACCTTGAGATTTCTGCTCCTAGTGATCTTCAGACAAAGGCACTTCCTGTGTGTCCTCCTTTCTTTTTTCCAATTGACAAAACTCCTACTCATCTTTTTTCTTTTTTTTTTTTGGTTCCGGTCGTGGGGCTTGAACTCTGGGTCTGGGCGCTGTCCCTCAGCTCTTCAGCTCAGGCTAGCACACTACCACTTGAGCCACAGCGCCACTTCCGGCTTTTCTTTTTGCTTATGTGGTGCTGAGGAATTGAACCCAGGGCCTCAGGCATGCAAGGCAAGCGCTCTACCACTGAGCCACCTTCCCAGCCCTCCTACTCATCCTTAAAGGCCTATCTGTGGTTTGCCCTTCCTCCTGAAAACCTGAGGGCCAACCAGACTCTGTGTCATCTCTCTGCTCTTACTTTGGCTTCAAGATTTCTTTGATAGGGAAATAGGGGTGCAGGTGGACATACCCGTCCATCCCTTGTTCCTCAAGTTAACTGGTTTGCAAGTTCCACTGGCTGGTCCCACTTTTTTTGTCAGTCGTGGGGCTTGAACTCTGGGCCTGGGCACTGTCCCTGCGCTCTTCAGCTCAAGGCTAGCGCTCTACCACTTGAGCCACAGCGCCACTTCCGGTTTTCTAGCAGTTTATTGGAGATAAGAGTTTCAAGGACTTTCCTGCCCGGGCAGGCTTTGAACTGAAGATCCTCAGATCTCAGCCCCTGTGTAGCTAGGATTACAGTCATGAGCCACCAGCGCCCGGCTATGGGTCCCACTTTGTGTGGGAACATTTCCTAGTGGTGCACGCTTTAGTTTAGTTGTTTTTTTCTTTTTCTTTTTTCTTACCAGTCCTGGCGCTTAAACTCAGGGGCTGGGCACAGTCCCTGAGCTTCTTTTGCTCAAGGCTAGCACTCTACCACGTGAGCCACAGTATCACTTTTGATTTTTTCTGTGTATGTGGTACTGAGGAATCGAACCCAGGACTTCATGCATGCTAGGCAAGCACTCTACCACTGAGCCACATTCCCAGCTTATACACTTCGGTTCTTAAGTAGTTCAGAGCTTCACCCTTGCTCAGCTTGTTTGGCTGGACTGGTGCTATACCCCTTGAACCATGCCTCCTTCCTGCTTGTTGGTTATTGGAGATGGAATCTCATGGACTTTTCTGTTCAAGCTGGCTTCAAATATCTAGTCCTCCAGCTCTCAGCTTCCTGAGTAGCTGGGATTATGGGCACCATTACCAGGCAGGAAGATGCATAAAGCCCTTCACACTTCTCAACTATAAATGTATTTATTTATTTGGTGTGTGGGCCCATCCTGGGGCTTGAACTCAGGGCCTGGATGCTGTCCCTGAGCTTTTGCTCAAGGCCAATGATCTACTACTTGAGGCACAGCGCCACTTCCAGGTTTTTTCAGTGGTTTGGTGGCATCTCACAGACTTTCCCACCATGATCCTCAGATCTCAGCCTTCTGAGTAGCTGGGATTTCAGGCGTGAGCCACCGGTGCCCGGCTCTGCAGTACATTCTTGGCTTCCACTGGAGCCTTGTCTGTCAGTGAGACTTGGCGAGGTTGGCACGGGGCAGAGCGTCAGTCCTCAGGGTGCCTAGTGCGAGGGCACAGCGCAGAACGACGAGGAGAACACTTTGTGCTTTCCAATCCAAACAAACCCGGAGCTCTGGCAAGGCTCCAAGCTGGGTCTCCGAAGTTCTGGCTCCCAGACCTCTTTCATGGTCTCCCCGTGACCTTGAGCGTGCACAGTGACCTTGAGCCCAGGCTTCCTCAGCCTCTACCATCTGCTCAAGGGGGAGGGGGGGGCGACCATGGCCCTCCCCCCCACTTCCTCTCCTCCCTCCCTGCTTCCCCCCTTGTCCCCCCACCCCCATCCACAGCCCTGTGCACTCACAGTAGAAAATGGATGTGCGGCCCCGGGGTTCTGTGTAATTCTGATTAATATTAATGACTCGACACGCACTGGGCCCGCTGTGCACCCGGCCTGGGCCAGCTGCCTGTCTCCTGACTCCGCGGGGGCCTGCGGGGAAGAATGGGGGATGCTACTGATGTGTTGTTCCTGAGGATCTCCCCTCCAGCTCCCCCCAAAGAGAGTCTGGATTCACCACTGCCCTCTCTTCCCTTTAGATCTTCTCCCTCGGCCACTGTCCCAACCAGGACTGGCTGGCTGTGGGCATGGAGAGCAGCAACGTGGAGGTGCTGCACGTGCGTAAGCCCGAGAAGTACCAGCTACACCTGCACGACAGCTGCGTGCTCTCGCTCAAATTCGCCTCCTGTGGTACGGTGCCTGCGCTGCCCTGGGGCTCCCTACACCTCCTCCGTCATTCCCGGTTGTTTCTGGGCCAGGCGGGGCTGTCTTCCTCCTCCCCACCTTCTCCCCTCCCCCCCCCCCAAAAAAAGTGAAGTTTGGTGACTATCAGGTGGTTTGTGAGCATAAGTATATCAAAAGCATATAATCTGCTGGGCACTGGTGGCTCACACCTGTAATCCCAGCTACTCAGGAGGCTGAGATCTGAGGATCATGGTATGAAGCCAGCCTGGGCAGGAAAGTCCAGTTATCTCCAATAAACCACCAGAAAACCAGAACTGGAGCTGTGGTTCAATGTGGTAGAGTGCCAGCTTGGAGCAGAAAAGCTCAGGGACAGTGTCCAGGCTCTGAGTTCAAGCCCCATGGCCGAAAAAAATAATAAAATAGACCAGCTAACATTTCAGATATTACCTGGATTACACTAAAAAGCCAATACTTAATGAAGTTGGGCACCAGTGGCTCATGCCTGTAAATCCCAGCTACCCAGGAGGCTGAGATCTGAGGATCATGGCTTGAAGCCAGTTCAGCCAACGAAAGGTGTGTGAGACTCTTCCTCTCCAATTAACTGAGGAAGACAAAACAAAAACCCAGAAATGGAGCTGTGGCTCAAGTGGTAGAGTGCTAGCTTGAAGCAAAAACAAACAAAAACTCGGACAGTGCCCAGGCTACAACTTGAAGCCCCAGGACTGACCCAAAACATAAAAAATGAACAAAAAAAAAAAAGAAAATTGAGGCTTGTAGTAACTGAGTTGGGCAGCCTGCCCGTGGCTCAGCCAGCGGTCCCCTAGGATGTTCACTAGACCATGTGCACACAAAGGAAGACACTGAGCCCCAGGCCCGGGCCGCAGGCCACCCTGTATCTCACGCCTCTGTTCTCGGCCCTCCCCAAACAGGGCGCTGGTTCGTGAGCACGGGCAAGGACAACCTGCTGAACGCCTGGAGGACACCCTACGGAGCCAGCATCTTTCAGGTACATCTGAAGGGGGACGGGGCAAGAGAGCACCCGCCCGTGTTTGAACCCCCTCCGAGAGTCCCACTTCCTCCCTCTGGATCCACCTCTTCTAGGCATTTCCTCTCACCGCGTCTGCTTCTCGCTCTGGGCATGATGGCCTCCGTGTAGTTTGGTCAAAGCTTGCTTTTCATGGCTGAGTAATACTCCAGTGTGAGTGGAGCGTGCTGGGTGTCTACCTGTTCGTGTCCATGTCCACTTGTTAGCTACTGTGCATCCTGCTGCTCTGGATGTCTGAGGGCAGGTCTCCTGTGAGCGGATTTTCATGCTTTTCCAGAGACCTTTTGGACGGTGGGTTCTGGTAAACCTGTTGGACCCGTCAAGCACAGAGAGCCTGAGCCTGTAATTCTAGCTCATCAGGAGGCTGAGATCTGAGGGTCACCGTTAGAGGCCAGTCCAGGCAATGAAACTGTGCAGCTGTTATTTTCAATGGATAACCAAAAAGCTGGAAATGGAGGTAGAGCTCCAGTGGTAGAGCACCAGCCTTGAGCAGAAAAGCCAAGTTGGATCATGAAACCCTGAGTTCAAGCCATAGTACCAGTGCATGCATGTGTACACATACACACACACACGCACACATGCACACGCCATTGTTTGATACATACTAAACGTACTTACCCTGTCTTACACACAGCACACACATTACCTGAGGAAAATCATTTCTCGCAACCTGTTTTACCCTAAAGTGCTGCGGGCCTCCTCTAGTGTTCTAGTAGACAAGGAAAGCATTTGTACTTCTGGCTCCTTTTGTGAACTGGTTGGAGGTGTCTCATGGACTTTCCTGCCCAGGCTGGCTGTGAGCCGTGATCCTCAGATCTCAGCCTCCTGTGTAGCCGGGATGACAGGCGTGAGCCCCCAGCGCCCGGCCTCACACTGTCTTTTGGTCAAACCACTGTAAGTGGCGCTGCTGTAAATCAAGACGTCCCAGGAGTGTGTGGCGTTTCCAGCGCACCATGGCGATGGTCCTCTCCTCACCTCCCCTCTTCCTGTGTCTTCTCCCCACCCCACCCCCTCCCGGCTGGCAGTCCAAGGAGTCATCCTCCGTCCTGAGCTGTGACATCTCCAAAAACAACAAATACATCGTGACGGGCTCCGGGGACAAGAAAGCCACCGTGTATGAGGTGGTGTACTGAGACCACCTTCCCCTGCGCCCAGTCCGGCTCCCTGGGGTGACCGGGGTGGGGCCTCCCTGCGTCCCTGCGGAGGTGGGGCGTGGCTCAGGGGAATAAATGTTCTTCTCACACCTGCCTCTCTGTCTCGGGGTGGGGAATGGGCTGTGTGGTTTCCCTCCTTCGTCACTGCCAGAGGACCCAGCTACATCCTAGTCCTGCCAGAACTTCTGCAGGGCTGGGCCCCAGGGGCTCACGCCTGTCATCCTAGCCACCCAGGAGGCTGAGATCTGAGGATCGCGGTTCAAGGCCAGCCCGGACAAGAAAGGCCCTGAGACTGTTCTCTTCAATGAACCACCAGAAGACCAGAAGTGGCGCTGTGGCTCAAAGTGGTAGTGCGCTGGCCTTGAGCGGAAGAGCTCAGGGACCGCGCCAGGCCCTGAGAGCAAGCCCCACAAAAACACCCAAAGTTTCTGCGTGAGACAAGGTCTGTCCATCTTGGTAAAGGCCCCCCCCCCCCGCCCCCCAGATGCCTCTGTCCCCACTTCCTGCACCCTGGGGCTGGTGATAAACTTACAAAGGGCAAAAGTGTATGTGGACCTGGGGATTTGAGGTTCCCGTCTGTGCTGGCTGGTCTCATGACCTCAGATCTGGAGGTGACACAGCCAGAACCCACTCTCCTGGCCAGAGGGTAAAGAGCCAGGGGCTGAGGTCCCACGAGCCCCTGCAGGAGGACACGCCTCCAATGACTCCCCCCCCCCCCCCCCCCCCCCCCGCCTTTATCTCCCTTCCATGTACTAACCAGGCCGACCCTGCTTAGCTTCCGAGATCAGACGAGATCGGGCACGTTCAGGGTGGTATGACCGTAGACCCCACCTCCCTTTATCACCGCCGCCAATCCTCGCCCCCATCATGACTCTTTTGGGGGATCACCTAAACCACATCCACACAGGAGCCCAGGGCCACACCTGGAGAGGGTCCAAGTGTCGGGAACTGGGGTGTCTTCCCGGCCTGCTCTACCCCGGTGGCTCCCCGGGCCCGGCCCACAGTCAAATGTCACTGTCCCCAACCCAAGGGCCACGGGCCACGCTGATAGGAATCATTCATTCCATTCATTCATTCATTGGTTCAGGGAGATCAAGGTCTGCGCGGGGGGAGGCAGTGGTCATTCTGCAGGCGGGGCAGGGGCTCAGCCCGCTGTAAGCTCCTATGGCTGCAGGGCTGGGTGGTTTCCTCCCTGCACGACACCCCTATTTTCACAGGATCTGCCCCCCCACTCAGGCCCCAGGAACCCCAGGCCTAAATTTGGCTGGAAAGCACAGGAAACCTGTGCCGCACCGCAGCTGTACAGCCCCCCTCAGAGCCGCACCCCACCTTCCCCTCGCCCCCTCAGAGGGGGGACAGATACCCACATGGCCTTTTCACATGCTTTATTACCAGTGACAAAGATCAGAGACTGTGGGACCCCCCCCCCAAACACTCCTCCTTCCCCTCCCCCACATCCTCCGGAGAGCAGGGAAGCCCAGCTGGAGCTGGGTGGGTGCCGGGGCGGGGCCCGGGCGCTCAGTAGGTGACCTGGTACACCGTGGCGTGCTGCTGGGAGCCGGTGACCACCAGACGGTTGCTGGAGGACACGGCGCAGCAGTTGATGCCGGAAGTCTCGGGGACCTGGGAGGGTGCGGCCGTCCCATGAGACGCGTGGGGGACACCCCAGGGAACACAGGTCCCCCACGGTCACTCATGTCCCCTCCCGCAGCCACCGTGGTACCTGGAAGACCTTGGCTCCCGTGGGCATGGCGTGGATGGTCACCATGTCGTCCATGCCGACGCTGGCCCACCACTGCCCTGGAACCAAGCGTGGGTCACAGCAGCAGCCCCGCCCCCCCTCCGCCCACACCAGCAAAGGCCCTGGGGCAGCCTGGCAGGGCTGGGCAGGGTCTGGGCTGCCTTGGGGGGAGATGAGGGGGAATCCTCGGGGGAAATTCTGCCTGGTCACTTACCATACGGGGAGAATGTCACCCCGAGAATGAGTTCCCCCTTACTCCCCACCATGCATGCTGGGGTCTCGGCAGAGGGCTGCAGCCAGTGCTGGCCGTTGGCCAGGCCCAGAATCAGCCGGTCGTCCTGGGGGCTCTGGCACAGGCTCATGATCTGGGGGGCGAGGGGGGAGGAATGTGATCAGACCCTGAGAGGGGCAGAGGGGGACAGGGGCGCGGGGTCCAGCCCCAAGGCCTGCTGTCTGCCTGGGCACTTCCGGTTGCCATGGTCTGTGGAACACACACACAAGGTTTGCGGCTCCCGGGTTTACAGCGGGAGCACCTGAAGCTTCCGTGCCGGTACTGAGGCTTGAACTCGGGTCTTGGGAGCTGTCCCTGAGCCTTGTCACTGAATGCTTGCACTCTACCACTTGAGCCACAGCTCCATTTCCAGCTTTTTGCTGGTTACCTGGAGATAAGAGTCTCATTGAGCCGGGTGCTGGTGGCTCATACTTGTCACCCTAGCTACTCAGGAGGCTGAGATCTGAGGATCTGGGTTCAAAGCCTGCCCAGGCAGGAAAGTCCCTGTAAGACTCTTATCTCCAATGAACCACCAGAAAACCAAAAGCGATGCTGTGGTTCAAGTGGTAGAGTGCTCGCCTTGAGCTGAAGAGCTGAGGGACAGCGCCCAGGCCCAGAGTTCAAGCCCCATGACCAACAAAAACAAAAAGTCTCATGGAATTTCTTGCCCAGGTTGGCTTCAAATTGCAATCCTTAGCTCTCAGCTTCCCGAGTGGCTGGATTTACAGTCGTGAGCCACTAGCACTGGACTCCTTTCTTTTAAGAGGGTTGTGCTGTGCACACCAGGAAGTTGTAAAACTGGCTTTCCTCCTTCTCTGCCCAGCTTTGGCAGGACAGGCTGCCATGGCTTGGCTCATGTCCCTGTCCTTTGGGATGACTTGGGAGGACGCGGCCACCCCGAGCCCAGTCCGTCTCCATCACGCACCTGAGAGTTGAATGGGAATTTCCTTAACTCCTTAGACATCCGCAGGTCCCAGCAGCGCAGACACGCGTCCAGGCCCCCTGCCCACACCTTGTGGCTCTTCACAGCCAGGCTTCGGGCTCCATTGGGGGGGCAGGAGATGTCCCTGGAGGGGCGGCCGCGGGGAGTGGGGTGACAAGACGCCAAGCACATGCCCCAGACACCACTGCTCGCTGGCTCACTGCCTCGCAAGAGGGTCAGCCACATAACGGAAGGGCCCAGAAAGGGGACTTTGGAGGCCGAGCTGCCCCCATGCCCTCGACTCCATCCTCCCTGCGATCCTGAGCCTCAGTCTACCCACACTGCCAAGTGGGCCCACAGAAATCCCTCACCACCAAGTCATGCTGGCATCTTCCAGAAACATCTATGCGAGCATGTGCCACAAAACAAAACAGCACTCCTGGGAGTTCAAATCCCAGTACCACCAAAAAAAAGGGGGAGGGGCGGGGCGGGAGGAGGGGCGGGAGGAGGGGCGGGAGGAGGGACCCTGCCCCGCACCTGATCACGCTGTGAACCCGCAGGTCCCACACCCGGACGATCCCTTCACTGAAGCCGGCCAGGACCAAGTTTTCCTCCACCTTGGCGGCCAGGGACTGGCAGGAGAGGGCGGGGCAGGGCAGCTCGTTCTTCACGAACAGCGAGGACGCCGACAGGTCCCACAGCTTCACGCCGGCCAGGTGGCGGCCGCCCGCCAGCAGCGTGGTGTTGTCCGAGGCCAGCAGGCAGGTGCGCAGGTAGCCGCGGGCCGGGGACACCTGGGTGGGCGGGGCCGCGGGCCGGCTGAGCCCCGCCCCCGAGGGCTGGCCACGCCCAACTCCGCCCGCCGCCGGCCACGCCCTCTGCAACCAGCCCCACCCCTAGTACTAGCCCTGCTCAACCACTACTTATGCCTGGCCCCGCCCCCGGGCCCCGGCCCCGCCCCGGCGAGGTCGGCCCCGCCCCCGCGAGTCCGTGGCCCCGCCCCGGCCCCGCCCCCGCGAGGCCGGCCCCGCCCCTCACCTGTGGCCCGGGCCGCAGGTGGCTCTCCGGGAACCTGTCCTCCGCCACCTGGCCAGCCAGGCTCCACACCTTGACGCCGCCCTTGCTGCAGGTGAAGGCGTGGCGCGAGAAGCTGCTCACAGCCGCCGACAGCACCGGCTCCCCGTGGTTTAGCACCCGCACCTTCTCCACGCGGTGCGGGACCGCGAACCGCTTGGAGCGCCCGGGCTCTGCCGCCGTCCTGTCCCACGTGTCTTCGAAGTCCTCGGGGTCCCAGGTTCTCGGGAGGGGAGAGTTCGGAGATCACCCCCCTGCCGACCACGGGGTCCAGTCCTTCCAAACCCCGGGGGCTCTCAAGTCTTGCTCCACGCCCACGCTTCGCCTTGGGAGAGCAAACTCCTACTCGTCCTTCAAGGCCCTAACCATGATGCCCCTTCTTCCAGGAAGTCAAACCAACACTTCTGGTCCTACTTCCTTCCCCTTATGGACAACAGGAGAGTCAGCTACCCCTCCTCCCCCCAAATCACCTTCTCTCCGGGGCGGCAAGCTGCGGGATACTCACAGGGGCTTCAGAAATGGACCCGTGGCATCAGGCAGCTCCTGTGGGGTGAAAAGCGCTCAGAGGCCGGGGTCATGCTCTCCCCAGCCCAGCCCTCGCGGTGAGTGCTCACCTGGGACTCAGGGGGCTGGGGGCTGTCTTTTGGGGGACGCAGGATAGACTTGGTCACCATGGAAACCGGCTGGTGACTATAGAACTGTCCAGTTTGGAAGCGGACTCTCTTCCCCAGGGTCATCGTCTCCTCTTCCTCTTCCACCTCCACCTCCTCCTCTTCCTCTTCCGGTTCCTTTTCCCATTCACCCAGGTCACTGGGTTCCAGCACCTTGTTCCCCTGTGCCCAGGGCCGTGGAGCAGTCAGGGGACCCCTAGGGCCCCTCTGAGCCTGGGGACGGGTTAACCCCATGCAGCCTGCCTGAGATCCCCCCGGGTCAATGGGGGGGCAAGCTGCAGGTGCTGAGCACCCCAGGGACCAGGCAGGAAGAGGCCCCTCAGCCCACACTGGGTCACCCCAGCCCCCCCAGGCCCGCCGCCACTCACCCCAACCTGTGCGGTCACTGTGGCCACGGCCAAGGAGAGC